ACATTGGTCAGTTTAACTCCATTGTCAGTTTGGTTATATCATCTTTGAGCTTGCCAAGTTTCTTTGCTTTCCCTTTTATCTTTTCCTACAGTTCAGCTATTTGGTGTTTAATTTCCTCTTCATCTGGTGTCTCTTACCTGCTTTGGGAGAGCTGGGAGTCTTCAGAGGCATTTTGTTACCTTGTTTTTTCATGTTCTTGTTTGTGTGTGTGCTGATTGGTTGAATGCAAACTTTGTTACTGGTGTGAAGATCATTTTAGTTAGGTTGTTTTCCAGTGATGTGATCTTGGCTTCATTTGTCAAGAACTGTTGTCTGCCACTTTAACCTATTCAGTTTAATTGAGTTGGGACCCAGTCACTGTTGTAAGGAGAGAATTCCTGCTGGTTATAACAGCATCTACAGATCATACAGTCATAAACATTAAAACTTGTTTTGACAATTTCATCCTTTTATCAGTGCCCCTTATAGATCATACTATAATCTATAAGTATTAGGTGGTTAGTCTGTAATATGAAGCGGGGGGAGGAGAGAGTAAAGGGGGAATGAAAGGGGTAAGTCAGAAGAGAAGGAGTAAGAAATGTCAGTGGGTGAAAAGTAGATAAGAAACTGGGACTCTGAGGAAGTTATTTTTATAGGTGGAGTAAAGGGCCAGTGTTTGGGAGTTTGAGAGAATGTTTGTGGAGTTGGGGGGAGCAATGTCAAGGGAAAGAAATGTGCTTACGGATTGAAGGGAGCAGTGTGGTTCCCGGAAACTTACTGTATTCATAGTTCGTTTTGTTTGGATCCTCTAAACACAGTTCTGTTAAGGGGTACCTGGTATGGCCATGAACGGTACCATTCAAGTTAAAGCACTGATCAGTTATTACTCTCTTTTGCGTAAATAAAGGCACCTGCTGTATGGATGTTGTATGAAAGGTGGAGAGGAAAACAGGGAAGATAAGAGAATTGGGGAAATGAGGAAGAACAAAAAAGAATAGGGAGGAAAGTTTAAAAGAGAAGAAAGACTAAAAGAGGGGACTAAAGAAAAACCTTTTAAAATAATATTAATTTAGAAGCAAGACAAGAAAACCCAGACAAGCAAGCAGGAAACAAACAAAGGCCCTCAGGCAGTTGCTGTGGCTGGGGGCGCACAGCTCCTGTTACCACCTCGGACTGTTTAACTGCCAGCCTGGGGCATCCCTCTGGACCCCTCCTGGCTGCAAACTGTGCTGTGGTGTGGTTGGGTGAAGGCTGTTGGGGGCACTGTGGACCAGGGGCTTCCCCTTTTCAACAGCCTGGATATTTTGATTCAATCTAGAGGATTCATTTTTCAGGTTACTTTCTGTATCTGGGTGAACCTGAACCCTATCCACACCGGATCCTTCCTATCCTTGCGTTCCATCCTAGTTGTCTTTTTTCTTTTTTTCTTAATCTTCTTATATTACATCTCCACACATGGAAAACCCCATCAAACAATGCTGTAACTTTTGCTTTTAACTGGAAATACATATTTTTTAAAATATGAGAATAATCTATATTTAATCAAATACTTAAACTTTCTCTTGCTCTTGTTTTATTCCTCATGTTCCCAAAATTCCTTCTAGTCTCTTTTTTCTTTAGTCTGAAGGACTTAATTCAGTAATTCTTTTAGAGCTGTCTTGCTAGCAACAGATTTAGGTTTGCTTTTTTGTTTTGTTTTGTTTCTTCGCCTAAGAATATCTCTATATCACTTTCATTTCTAAAGAATGTTTTCAGCCAGGCATGGTGGCTCATGCAGCAGTCTGGAAGGCTGAGGCAGGAGGATCACAAGTTTGAGGCCAGCTTGAGCCTCATAGCAAGACCCTGTCTAAAAGATTTTTCTGAGTATTTAAAATTAATTGGGATTTCTAGGACTTTAAAATATAGTTCCAAGACAGGGGTTGGAGAGAAAAGGGGAAGGAAGGGGGAAAGAGAGAGAAAGAAAAGAAATTTTTACTTTCTTTAGGCCTCCACAGTATCTTGATGAAAAATCTATAGTTTTTTGAGTCATTGTTCACTTATACATAGTATACATATATTTTTGGTTGCTTTAAGAATTTTAGTATATATTTCATTAGGTTTACTCTGTGGGATTCACTGAATTTCTTTTTTTTTTTTTTTGGTACTGGTGATTGAACTCGGGTCTTTGCACTTGCAAGGCAGGCGGTGGATCCACTGAGCTAAATCCCTGGCCTGCTGAATTTCTTAAATATATGTTTATATCTTGTCAAATTTGAAAAATATTCACTCTTTTTTAAAAATTATGACAAGGTCTCACTCTGTTACCCAGGCTGACCTCAACCTTGTGATCCTCCTGCCTCAGCCTCCTGAGTGCTGGGATTACAGGTAGGCGTCACCACCCATGGTTCAGCCTTCATTTTTTGAAAACAATTTTAGTACAATAATCTTTCTCCTTTCCTCCTGGGACTTCAGTGTTAACAAATTTAGAACTTTGCTATTCTCTTATAAATGACTGAGGCTTTGTTCAGCCTTTTTCCACATATTTTTCTCTTTTTGGATTGCATAATTTCTATTGGTCTATCTTCAGTTTCACTGAGCCCTTCCTCTGTCATTTTCATCTGCAGTTGAGTTATTTATTTCTATGATTTTTAAATTTCAGTTTTTCAGTTCTGAAATTTCTGTTGTTCTTTGTTATCTTCTGTTTCTTTGCTAAGAATTCTGTATTTCAATTTGTGCCAAGACCATATACAGTTGCTTGTCAGAACATTCATTAGTAGCTGCCTTGAAGTCTTTATCATATAGTTTCAACATGTATGTCATTTTCATGCTGGTTGGCATCTTTTTCTTTTTTCTTTTTTTCCTGGTGAGCTGAGATTTTTCAGCTTCTTTGTATCCTTTTTTTTGGGAGTTGCATCCCTGGATATTTTGAGTAGTTTACATGCAAATATACTCATTGAAAGTCTGAGTTTTATTGAAGTCCCGTTAAGAATGTTGGCGTTCTCTAGCAGACCTGCGTACTTCGGGATGGGCTCTGTGGGCTGTAGTTGGCATCAGGGCGTGTCCTTGGCAGTGGGTGCACCCGAGCTTGGTGTCCCTGGTAGTGGTGTGCAGGTTATTGCAGCTTTCAGAGGTTCAGTGTGCTAGTTAGGCTCAGACCATCATGTACAGCCCAGGAGTGAGCCCTGCGGTAATAAACATTTCGCTGGGCTGCTTTCCTGTGTCTCTTCCAGATAGCTTCTGTTTCTCTGAGGCTTCCCTTTTCTGTCCTCTAGCCCAGTGCCGAAGGATTAGACCTACTCTGTCACGTGTTCCCTGATCTCGCCCACATCAGACCCCAGTAAGGGAGAGAAGTGCCAGTTCCAGTAGGAGTCTAATCCACCCTCTTGAGCCCAGAGCACCTCTACTTAGAAAAGAAGCTTCCTGTCTCTGAGTTGGCTCAATTCCAGCTGCCACTGAAGCCTCTGCCAACACTGCCCAGGGCATTCTTAGGAGCTGGGCCAGGGTAGAGTGGGCTCCCTTTCTTGCCTTTAGAACTGGCTCCGGAGGGCTTTTCCCAGAGTGTGTGCTTGATTGAGTGCTCTCATGCTTGCACTTGCCTGGGGTGAGGGGGTCCCTCTCTCCTCTCTCCTCTCTCCTCTGTCCTCTCTCTCATATTGCTTCCAGGTTTCAGTTTGAATTCAGAGGGAGATAGTGTGGAGTGAGGTTTATTTCATCTCACCTAGAATTGGACCCTGCAGTGAAGGATGAATACAGATTACATGGTCTGAGTTGCATTGCATTTGTCTTTAGAGCATACTTTTATAATGCTTAATACTTACTTTGGTTTGGCTTGTTTTTTGTGGGGGGCGGGTACCGGGGATCAAACTCGGGACCTTGCATTTGCCAGGCAGGCAGCGGCACCACTGAGCTAAATCCCTGGTCCTGTTTGGGGTTTTGAAACAGTCTCACTATGTATCCCAGCCTGATCGCAGACTCACTGTCCCTCTGCTTCAGCTTCCCAAGTGTTGGGATCACAGGTGTGTGCCAGCTCAGCCAACATTGCTTAGTATTTTGAATGCAACAGCTTAATGTATTTATTGTACCAAATAACAATACGGAAGTATATAGAATAAAAAGTGAGTTCAGAGTGATGTCCATCAGATTCCCCAGGATATCTTTTATTTGCTTGGATGCAGTATGCATGCCTGTAATCCCAAATACTTGGGAGGATGAGGCAGGAGGCTCGAAAGTTCCAAGGCCAGAACGGACAACTTAGTGACACTGTCTCAGAATAATAAAGGACTGGGGATGTAGCTCAGTGGTAGAACACTTCCCTACATGCACAAGGCCCTCCTAGTTCCATCCCCAGCAACACACACAGATGCATACACACACACACACACACACACACATTACATAAACATCCTACTTTTTTTCCTAATAGAAATCATCAAATTTAAAAAGTCTTCTATTCAGGCCATTTTGGGGTCGGGGGGTTGTAGCAGTAAAGATTCAACTCAGAGCCTCTACCACTCAACCAAATTGCCCGCTTAAAGATTTTTATTTTAAAATTGAGAATGGATTTTAATTTTACTATACTTTCAAAGTACATTTGCATTTTGGAAATGAGTATGTGGTTAATGAACTTGAAGGGAGGTTAACAGTAAGACTGCTAACAGCCTCTTACATGCAGGGTGATGAAAACCAAGATTGAGGCAGTGACTGGAGAGGTGTTTTGTAGATAGATATATAAATATAAATACATGCCTGGTGATTTATTGACATGCGGGAAAGTTGGAGGGAGTATGTGTGGAGGAGCTTGGTAGGCAAGGCGGTGCTGACCTCTAGGTGGCTTTGGGACTCTTGTAGCGCGAGATCACCCTAGAAGGTAATGCACGGAGTTTAAGGGGGTCCCTGTCGGGTGAACCCAAACGGGGGCAGCGGGGTGTTATCAGTCATGGAAACATGATGCAGGGAGTTGCACACAGAGAGGAAAAGTCACAGGGGCCTGGGAGAGGCCTTAACCTGCAAACCTAGAGCTCCTGACTTGTATTTGCTTCCAGCTTCAAGTGTGGACAGTCAGTCATGTGTGATGGTGCCCCCAAGTGATGAAGTGGTGACAAATCTGGAAACTCTTACAAGCAAATGCCTCTATGGGAAGAACTACTGCCGGCAGATCCTCTGCCTGTATGAACTTGCCAAGGTACTTGGGAGGTCTCCTGGAAGGGGAAACTGGAGGTAGATTTTGAACACTGCCATGACAGCCCTTCAGATGGAAATGTTAGCCTCATGGCTGACCTAGGATCAGAGCTCTTGGCAGGATATTGGCTCCTGTGAGTCTATCTGCAGGGAATAGTAGGAAAGGCCAAGAACCGGGGCAATCTTGAGTCCTGGTCACAGCTCAGCCACCCAGAAAACTAAGGGCAAGACATTTTATCTCAGTGGGACTCTTGCTCTTCATTTAAATGATAATTTGAATATAAGGGTTCCTTCTAGACCCTGTGTCTTGGGTTTTCTTCCTGACGGTATAGAGCATTCCATATGGAGTGCAGTGACTATAAAGACAGGAGCCAGAGCAGCCAGGATGCTCTGTGCAGTTTTGAGGAAGAAAACAGTGGACAGGATGTGAAAGAGCATGAGGGAAATAAAACTGAGTGTCAGAGTACTTGGACTTAGAGAAGACTCCTAGACGTCTTTGGAAATTTGAGGTTTTGCTGCTGTTGTGGGAACAATAAGGAAGGTACTGTTGCATTTTATTCTGCTTTCTTATGTTTTTTATGTTTGAAACAATCAGTGTTCAACAAGAGATAGTCATCTGATGTTTTCTGTTTTCTGATAATAAGCCTTTCTTTTGCTTGAATCTGGCTGTGGTGAATGATAAAAAGGACTAGGAAGTAGGGATTTTTAAACTCAGAAAACAATGGGGTCTGTCTACATCCCATTTCCTACAGAGCTGTCTTTTGATTTTTCTTGGCTCCTGAGAATAACTTTGGCTCTACCTTCTCCCCAGGAGCTGGGCTGTTCCTACACAGATGTTGCTGCCCAGGGCGGCAAGGCCCTACTCCATGCAATCCTGGCCTCCCAGCAGCCTGACCGGTGCAGACGTGCCCAGGCCTTCATCAGTACACAGGGCCTCCCTCCAGACACTGTGGCTGAACTTGTGGCTGAAGAAGTGATGCAGGAGCTGCTGACCTCATCTGAGGGAACAGGTGCTATGGCCCAGCCTCTCAGACAGCACTCTCAGGTCCCCAGCATCAAGGATTTGGATGCATCGTATATGTTGCCCTCTCACATTTCCAGATCATACTTGGAAAAGAACACATCACATTTATTTTGTTGTTGCTTTGAATTATTTTCTGATCATGCTCAGAGTAGCTCTGCCCTCTCCCCCGGCACTGCTTCTGTCCTGTGGGCCAAGGTTTGGAGTTCACCAGCAGGACTGCTGTAGAGGGAGCTCCCTCAACATGACCTCTGGTGCCCAGCTTGGGGAGAGTGACTTCTGGCAGCATACTTTTGGCCTTCTCCAACTCTTCCATGTTAAACCAGCCTGTTTCTACATCTTTCTGTGCAGGACATAAGCAGGTGTTCAGCCCAGCAGAGGAAAGCCAGACATTTCTTCAGCTGACTGCTCTGTGTCAAGACCACACCTTGGTAGGAATGAAGTTACTGGATAAGATTTCCTCTGTTCCTAATGGACAGCTGTCTTGCAGTAAGTTCTCAGCCTTTTTCTTACATGTTTTGAGCCTAAGCAGGTTTCCAAAAGGTCTCCTAGGGTCATCTCTCCAAAACTTGATTTAGGTCCTTGTTCTTGCTCTGGATACCTAGCCCTCCAGCATGGGGTGTGAGTTTTTAGTGGAAAGCCATAAGTTTACTGAAGAAAATTTAGAAGGTATGCAAAGGTAGGCTTAAATTTAACACACAAAAAGTTAACCTTGCCGGGGGTTTAGCTCAGTGATTCCGTTGCCTGCTTTGCAAGCGGAAGGTCCTGAGTTCGATCCCCTGTACCAAAGGAAAAAAAAAGTTAACCTTTAGCTTTGTGTGGTATTGTATACCTGTCCCCAGCACTGAGTGAGACCAAAGCAGAATTGCAGGTTTCAGGCCAGCCTCGACAACTTACCAAGACTTTTCTTGAATTTTTTTTAAAAAGAGCTGGGAGAGGAGGTGCTGGGGATATAGTTCAGTGATAGGGCACTGGCCTTGCATGAGTAGGCCTTGGGTTCAATTCTCAGTATTACAAAAAAAAAAAATAATAATAATTGTACTGTTTTGGGTTTAGTTTCCACTGTTTGCTATTTTAAACATTCTGATGAATATTTCTGTGCCCATCCATAATTATTTCCCTAGGATAAAATCTTGATTCAAGGGTGTGCTCATTTTAAAGGCTTCTGAGACATATATACATACATGCATGTGTATGCATATATATGTATGTGTGCACACATACACACAAGTGTGTGTATATGTCTTTATGTCTGGCTAAGTTTCACTCCAGGTAAAAAAATGTCACCTTTCACTCTTAGGTGGTGTATCACTTCCTGAAACCTATTTCTCTTTCATATTGATAAGCCCCAAAAGAGGCATTTTTTTTTTTTTTTTAATTTGAGACAAGGTCTTCCTCTGTAGCCCAGGCTGGCCTTGAACTCACTATGTAGCCCAGGCTGGCCTCAAACCTGCAGTGATCCTCCTGCCTCAGCTCCTGAGTGCTGGGATCATAGGTGTGTGCGCCACCACACTCAGCTTGTAGTTTTCAGTCTGTACCCAGGCACATCTTTCCCAGTCTAGAGAGCCAGAACCCCTGAGACCTTCCATGGAGGTGCAAGCGAAGAGAGACCTTGGATTCATGTTGGCAGAAATGCCATCAGTTTGTCTGCAGAAGGCTTCGAAGATCCCTTGTTCTCATTTTGGGCCTTCTGGAAATATGGCCACTGCCTGACTTTGGAGGACAGTTAGTCCCCGTGCTTAGCCCTGGGAGAAGAGCCTCGAGATCAGCAGATGGTTTTCCTAGGGAGCTCGTGTGGCCAGGCCTCAAAGGGGCCAGCGAGAGCTTGCTACACAGGCCTCTTCCCTGCCAGGCAGAAGGCACAGTGGGTGGCCAGGCTTCAGGAATTTGTCTCACCAGTGTCCTACCCCAGCCACAGAGCTCCTGATCCTGGCTCATCACTGCTTCACCCTAACATGCCATATGGAGGGCATCATGCGAGTCCTGCAGGCCGCCCGGACGCTCACAGATAACCACTTGGCTCCCAACGAGGAGTATGGGCTGGTGGTGAGTAGCCCCCTCCACCCACCCTCTGGCCTGAAGCAGCCTTTGAGAGGAGCAGAGATGAGGGGCTTTCTCAGAGCTGAGGTGGTCTTAGGAAATTCTGCTCCTCTAGATCCCATGATCTGTTTCATGGTTGGCTGGGCCACCTACCCTGCAGCAGCTCCAAGTTATGGTTTCTGTCTGAATCAAAGATAGCTCCAGAGGAGCAGAGAGAGTTCCAAGGCCACTGCACCCTCATGACAGGGCAGTGAGTTCTTCTAGAGGGCTCACTGTTCCCCAGAATACGGTAAATGAGTTGACAGTTTGAACTCCATTGCTTTCCCTAATTCTCTGCCACATAGGCCGTTGAGGAGCAGTGGGAAGAGCAAGAGCCTGCCCAGGAAACAGCTTCACATTACTTGGTAGTCATGCTTAGACAACAGAGGGGAAGTTCACAGTGGTGTCTCCAAAGACTAGCACTGTGATTCCTCCAAAGAAGTCCCTTGTTGGGAGCACAGGGGGGAGCTGGGCATGCAGCTGCCCTGACAAAGAGGTGGTCTGGTTCAAAGGAGTCCAGAGATGCTGACACGCATCCTCCCCTCAGGTCCGGCTCCTCACTGGCATTGGAAGGTACAATGAGATGACGTACATATTTGATTTGCTGCATCAAAAACACTACTTTGAAGTGCTGATGAGGAAGAAGCTGGATACGGTGGGTGTGAACAGTGAACTGGGCTTAGCTTCTCTGAGTGATGATCTCAGACAGGGTGGGACCCTTGGGTACAGGGAGGGAAGTCGACACTGCAGTGGAGTGCTGACCAGGGAGGAGTTATGCTGATATTACTGAAAAAAATGCTGGGTGCTGTGGGCATACACCTATAATCTCAACATTTGGGAGGCTGAGGTATAAGGATCACTGCAAGTTTGAAACCAGCCTGAACTGCACAGACCCTGTCTCAAAAAAACAAACCAAAAACTGAACGAAAAGTTTCTCTCCCACCACCTCCAACAGGTATCCCCAACTTGTGGTCCTTTATTTAAAAATAAAGGAGGGCCAGGGCTGGGGATTTAGCTCAGTGTCACCATCCCTGCCTCACAAGCACAAGGTCCTGAGTTCGATACCCAGTACCAAAAATACATATATAAATAAATAAATGAGGGCCGGGGATGTAGCTCAGTGGCACCGCGCCTGACTGGCAAGCACAAGGTCCTGTTCTGAGTTCGATCTCCAGTACCAATAAAAATAAAAATAAAGGAAGTTCTGTTACCTATATACACTAGGTACATATCATATGTTTTATATGCCACCCAAGACAATTCCTCTTCACTCAGTGTGGCCCAAATGAGCCACCGATATCCACAGGCTAGAGACCCCTGCAGGGCCTGCTGTTTCAGAAAGTGCCTTCTCTAACAGCAGCAGAACCCTTGCTGAGAGCCATGCTGAAAGTGGTGGGCTCTGACACTGTGCCTGAGGGCTTGAGTGGAAAAATTTTAAGGAAACCATGAAAAAGTATCCTGCCAGAACCAACCAGGAAAGACAAGGCCCAGACCAGAAAATCCTTCTACAAGGATGACCAGGAAGGCTTGGAAGCAGAAGCCTGCCCTGCTTAGTTCTTTGGGCCTTTGGGAGCCCATCCCCGGCATGCTGTGACACCAGGTGCATCGCTCATGCAGTGTTCCACATCACACATTTGGCTGATGTGCTGCCTCTGCTTGTTTTACCTCAGAAGAGTTAAAAAACAGTGTACTTTTGGCTTCTGGGAACCTGGCCCCAGTCAAACATCTCTGTAATGGTGGGCCAGTTTCACATCAGACCAAATCTAGCTGTCAGGACAGGAGGTCTACGCATGGGTGCATCTTCAAGATCCCTTGGAGGATTTTTTTTTTTTTTTTGGTACCAGGGATCAAACTTGGGAGTGGAGGATTTTTTTTTTTAATTGCTATTTTTCGAGCCAGTTTTGTTTCTGCATTTAAATATCCTTTTAATAACTTTTTCTGATTATAAAAGTAATGCATATTCCATGTAAGACACTTGGAAGACAACACAGAAAACAGTCCTCAGTGTTTACCCATCTGGAGACAACTGCTGCTAAGCTTGGTATAGCCCCTTTCTTTGCAATTTACTCAAAAGCATACATACATATTTGTACATTTTAACAAAACTTACGCCACAGAGATAGGAAATAGCCTGCTCTTTTCCCTTAGTAAATGTACCATAACTATTCTTCAAATCAACACACAGTCTCCTACATCAGTTTTATTTATTTTTTATCTTTTGGTACTGGGGATTGAACTCCGGTCCTTGCACTTGCGCAGCAGGCAGTGAAACCAAGCTAAATCCCCAGCCCCTCCTACATCAGTTTTAATGGCCACAAGGTACTCTCTTAACCTTTATTTTGGACATTCAGGCTGTTTCTATATAATTACCTTTTTTTTCTTTTTTTTGAGACAGGGTCTCACTCTATAGTGTGGGCTCGCCTTGAACTGTGTAACAGCCCAGGCTGGCCTGAAACTGGTAATCTTAAGTGCTGGGATTGTAGGTGTGCAGCACCACACCCAGCTTGTTTACATTCACTTGAATACTTTTCCCTGCTTTTTTTTTTTTTGGTACCAGGGATCGAACTTGGGACCTTGCACTTGCCAGGCAGGCAGTGGAACCACTGAGCTAAATCCCTGGCCCTCCCTGCTTATTTCTTTAGGGTAGATTCCTAGAAATACAATTGTGAGATCAGCATATGCGTGTTTTTCAGGCTTCTCCCTTCTGAAATGTTTTACTGTTTACAGAGAGGACATGTCTATTTCCTTTTACCCAGGAAAGGATAAACTATATTCATTTTCAGTTTTAGTCATCTTTTCCTTTTTCTTGGGAGTTTTTCAAGAACTTTCAGAACCCAGACTCAGCCAGTCCTACCTGCCGTGCAGTTCCTGGTTGAGATCTTGGTATTCCATTTTCCCCCTGGGCAGAGTGGGACCCTGAAGACAGCCCTGCTGGACTACATTAAACGCTGCCGCCCTGGAGACAGTGAGAAGCACAACATGATTGCCCTGTGCTTCAGCATGTGCCGAGAGATCGGGGAGAACCATGAGGCAGCTGCCTATATCCAACTGAAACTGATCGAGTGTCAGGCCTGGGGTGAGCAAGATCACTGCAGCACCCCCAGGGCTGGCTGTCTGAAGCTGGGCCCCAGCTATGCAGACAGGAAACAGAGGGTGTTTGGGAAGCATTTGCACTCTTGGACTTGGATCCTGTGCATCCAGGGTGTCATCCATCAGGAACCATTGCATGCTGATGCTATGGAAGCCTTCCTTGATGCTCAGAGCAAAGGAAGGAACTAGAGGGGCACCAATTCCTACTCCAGGGTAGTTATAAGAATGTGCACAGTTCAGGCCCCACAGACTTTGAACTGGGTGAGACACCCATACCTCCTTGTGAATATGGCCAGGCCACTATGACTGAGAGAAGAGCCCACCTGGGAGTCAGACTGACTCAGCAGTGCCCTTTCTTCCCTGCAGAGGACAACCTCAAGGATGGGCAGCAGCTGAAGCAGCTGCTGTTGAAGGCCCTGACCTTGATGCTGGATGCAGCCGAGAGTTATGCCAAGGTAATGATGGTGTGAATGGTGTTAAGTTCACACTGGCCTTGGTATCTGCAGTAAGAATTGTTTTCTTTTGTCCCTGGTTTCCTCCAAGGGGAAGTAGTGTGTGTCATGGGCCAAGCAGGGTAGAGGGGCAAGTATAGTTGTTAAAGGGCTCACCTAAGAGTAACGTTCTTCTGCGCCCTCTGCTCCATCCTCAGGACTCCTGTGTGCGACAGGCCCTGCACTGTCACCGGCTCACCAAGTTGATAACACTACAGATTCACTTTCTGAACACTGGCCACAACACAATGGTCATCAACTTAGGCCGCCAAAAGCTGATGGACTGTATCACGGCCCTGCCTCGGTTTTACCAGGTGAACAAGAAACAAAACCAACAAGCACTGCAGCATCCCTTTTGCCGTGCCATTCATGGGACCAACGTTGGGTTACATTCTCAGGGATAGGAACAGGACCAGGACAGCATAGGTGTCCCGACTTAGCTGACAACGACCGTGAAGAGTTTTAGCTGGGCATGGTGGCACACACCTATAATTCCAGCACTTGTGAGGCTGAGGCAGGAGGATCACCACAAGTGCAAGGCCAGCCTGAGCTGCATAGGGAGTTCAAGACCAGCCTGAACTATAGTATGACTGTCTCAAAAAGAAAAAAAGGGAGGGCCGGGGATTTAGCTCAGTGGCACCATGCCTGCTTCATAAATGCAAGGTGCTGAGTTTGATCCCCAGTACCAGGAGAAAAAAAGGGAGATCTGGTCTGTTTCTCCAATAGCATGTTCTTCTGGTACCTTAGATGGTGTGAAGTACCAGCATCTCCTTTTCCCCATCATATTAAGCCTACAGAGGTAGGCATCTCTGGTCGGGGAGACAGTTCAGACTCCCATCCCTGCTGATGATCCTGCAAGACTCTCTCAGCCCATGTGTGTATAGGATCATACACCTGTATTAGCACTGAGAGGAGGGCTTCCAGGACGTGGGTTCTAGCCCTTTAAATGGTGTGGTATTGACACTAGGGATTCAGCCCTTCATTGTCCCTTGTATAGTTGGGGACACATGCTTTCTCAGCAAGTTTTATTAATCCATTGTGAAGAAGGCTACAAACACTGAAGCTTAGGTGTTTGGGGGGTTACAGAAGAGACAGTGCCAAACTAATACTATACTTTTCACCAGTTCTCATACAGTTCTAATAAGAGTTGATAATGATCATATTCACTGCATGAGTGTGGGGTACTGCTTTCTAGAATTCGCCTTCAGTTGTCCACCACATGGGCTCTAAATTATGTCCTGCTTCACTTCCATCCTTTTAAGGCATCTATTGTAGCCGAGGCCTATGACTTTGTTCCAGATTGGGCCGAAATTCTGTACCAACAAGTGATTCTTAAAGGAGACTTTAATTACTTGGAAGAATTTAAGCAACAAAGGTTATTAAGACCCAGTATATTTGAAGAGATTTCAAAAAAGTAAGTTTCAAAGTTGGAACTGTGCTGGGTACAGTGGCCCATGCCCACACAGTCCTAGCTACTGGGGAACCTGTGGTGGGAGGTCACCTAGCCAAGACCAGCCTGGGCAGCACATTGAGACCCTGACTGGTATGTGTTGGGGGACATGATTGACTTAAGCTTTTCTCCTTAACTCTGAGGTGAGGTGGAAATAAGAAATTTATGGCTAAGCACAACATGCCTTTCTTTAGCTTACTCTTCTGCTTAAAGTGGCAAAGAGATGTCAAGAGTCCAGAAGAGTGATCTCTAGCAGACTTAACGCAAGTAGATGAATAAGAATAGTTTGCTTATGGTGCTTTTTATACTTAATATGGGAGATGCCAAAAAACCTAACCCAGAGCCTTCTGGGGTACTAAACTTATTAAGGTGAGCATTAACATACTTATTCTTAATGAAAATAATCTCTCAGACGGCAGCACCCTCTCCTCTACAGGCAGTAGTGTCAGAGATAGCAGCTTTCACTCAAGATACTGTATTTAGCCTGTGCTTTTTACATTTCTTTGTCTAGATGTAAACATCAGCCTACTGACACAGTCACAGAAAACCTGAAGAAGTTACTCTCGTACTGTGAAGATATCTACTTGCATTACAAGTTGGCGTATGAACACAAATTTTATGAAATTGTAAATGTGCTTCTGAAGGACCCTCAAACAGGCTGCTGTCTGAAGGACATGCTTGCAGGCTAGATGGATTTCAGAGACACCAGTGGTCTTGAAATGACAGAAGGTTCTGACAAATGTCCATGATCAAGAGTAGAATGAATGCACCGGGCAGCTTGTGGTCTGAATTGGGAAGGCCCAGAACCTATACCATCTCAGTCCTTTGTGGGTGGTGGATATTGAAGGAGAGAATTTTCAGCAGGAAATTCCTGTTTGGAAGTGATTGCTCATCTACGCCATTTTACACGGATGCTGGTAATTAAGATCAAAAGCTTCTTCATGATGACTGCTGCATTAGGAGGTGATACAATGATTGAAGGATACCTATGCCTGCAGATTCCAGTTTCAAAGAAATTTAATATTATTTACACAGTTAAGGAACAGGTGATACATTTTCATTTGTTAGAAACTGATCTTTCTATAAAATAGATTTTAAATTCTGTGTATGTCATTAGTGCTAAGGAAATCTTAGCCCTTGTCTGCCTTAAAACAGTATTTGATATAATTATTGCTGTGCAGTCAGGCCTTCTATTAATTCACCAACTCATTTATGTCGTCCTGTTTTACACTTAAGTCTACAGAGCCAAGGATCCTATTTCCTAGGGAAATAATATATTTTTTGCTCTGGTTGTGATAATTGGGACAAAAAAAGATGAACCCACTTTTTTTTTTTTTTTTGGTACCAGGGATCAAACTCGGGTCCTTGTGGTTGCAGGGCAGGCAGTGGAACCACTGAGATAAATCCCTGGCCCCAAACCCACAGCTTGTAACCATAACCTGAGTTGTAGGCTCCATTACTCCAAATAAATAGTTCTTAAAGTACTTAATTAGGCCTTAGTATCTAAACAAAATAATTTCCCAAATAAATAGCCTTATAGATTTGTTGCTCTGTGGTGACACTATTAACAACCTAGCACACCATCCTTGTTTTAAAGCTGTAACTACACCAAGCATTGATTAAGCTTAAGTATACAGATAATTTTAGTCCCAAGAGCTGTGTTCTGTGCTCTCCAAAAATATCTCTTGGGATGTAACACAAAATTTAAGTCCTCACAATAGTAATTTTATTAAATTAGTTACTTTATAAAACATTGCAGATGTCATAATTGTGAACATAACAGTTTACCAAACTGTAGTTAACTGGTGCAGTTTGCTGAGAATGTTTTATAAAGGAAAGGAAATGCCACAACCCTGTTAAAGTTGTTCCACTGCAGCCTAGAAGAACAAAAGAGATTTGTTTCTCAGACACTTGAATCAGGTAGTTTCCCTCCCCCATCCTGAAGCACGCCATCAGTAGAAAGTCTAATAAATTAAAAACTAGATGGTCTATGCACTCCGCAGATTCCACAGTAATTATTATACTGCAGTAATGGAGAGGTTTACCTTCTTCAGCTTCAAAGTTGGAGGGTTTTGGTCATTTAATTTGTAAGTATCTTCACTCTGAGATAAGCAGTCTTCTTCACAATGGATTTTTAATATCCTCATGCTCAATTTTAAGACAAAGCAATTTTAATACTAGGTGCACACCACATGCCCTTGCTGCAAACTGCTTTTCTTGACAAGTTATGAAGTAGTTCAAGGAGGTATGGTTAAGGCTGTATTATTGAATGGTGCTGGTAAATACTACATAATTTTTTGTCATGTTGCAACCTTTGTTTCCAATTTAGTGAATGCTGCTATGGAATCATATAGCAACAATGACATTATTAGATCTGTTTTTAAACTATGATTTAGTAGCAACTGAGGTTCCTGATTTTAACCCCTTGGCAGCAAGATCCAAGTTCCCCCATTTGCACATTAGCACCTAAGTGTCAAGGGGTTGAGTAACCAGCACAAAAGATACTGCACTTCTGATTGTAGCATTTGGCAGAACTGAAAGGAAAGGAAGTTGTGCTACATGTTGAAGGGATTGTGGGCAACAGAAAGAAGACACCAGAAGGTAAAATGTCACATGAAGTCTTCATAGTCTTGTACATATCCTCCATCATAACCACCATAATCTGCCAGATCGTCTTTCATGGTGGCCTTTAATCCCCCTCCAGGAACCACACCTTTCTTCTTCTTTTTGGCTTTGCTTTGCTAAGGAGGAGAGAGAGAATTGATTCATGACTTTATCTCCCATTGTCATTTCAGCTGGTACAGCAATGCTCATACAGATGCCAAAGCCTTTGGTCCCAGAAAAACTAATGTTCTTTAACGGACAACTCAAGCCTAAGTTACAGTGATTTCTGTTAACTCAGCAAGGAGCACCACCAAGATGTCACTAAACAAAAAGAGTGATGGCAACTGTGCTCCTAGTCCAGCTTCAATGGCACTGGTCAACTGCTTGGTTTTGTGTGTTTGTCTTTGCAGCACTTGGCCTTTTTTGTACTGTTCTCTTGTGACACAGGGTCTGGCTACACTATTAAGTTGGCTTGGTCTTTTGATCGTCCGGGCTCAGCATCTCAGAGTATTGGGATTACAGATGTGCACTACCACACTGGCTGAACTGCCTGACTTCTTAAATATGACCAGCTCCTCTACATCTAGTGAGAATATTCCACCCGTAACTAACCCTAATGTAATAAACGCTTCCCTACAGTTTCCTCTTACCTTTTCTTGCTTCTGTTTTTCACTGCAAAGCACAGTCAATGAATTGGTAATCTTTTTCAAGTCATCAATTTCCACTAAAAAAAAAAAAAAAAGACATCCACAAAACCTCAAGTTTTAAGCATTTTGAGACGTTAAAGCAAAATAGGTATCCTTTCCAAAGTGTTTGGAGAATCCTAATTTGTCCATCATTAAACTGTAATTCTGAAACTGAGTGTGGTGGCACCAGTAATCCTAGCACTGGGGAGGCTGAGGGAGGTGGATTGCCACCAGTTTGAGGCCAGAAAGGTCAAACTAAACTACACAATTGAGACCCTGTCTCAAACCAACAAAAAAAAATTTAATTTTGAAATGACTGAATTTCTCTTTTTAAATATTAAGGTGGTAAGGAATCATTCTTTCTATGGCTGGAATCACAGATGAGAACTATTTAAATTTAAATGGTAAACTCAGTAACAAAAATTTAACCTTACACAAACTAATCAAAAATTACAATGTTAGCCAAGCATGGTGGTGCATCCACTTGGGAGGTGGATGCAGGAGGCTCACCATGAACTCACTATGTAGCCCAGGCTGGTTTCAAACTCATGGTGATCCTCCTGCCTCAGCCTCCTGAGTGATAAGATTACAGGCATGTGCCCCCAAGCCTAGCTCACTGTAATAAGAAATTTTAAATTTGAACACTCACTTTATTTTTTGTATCACATCCTGTAATGACAGCACACCATAACTCCACCACAGAGAAACTCTTTATAGCTCACAGTGCTCCCTTCCTCACCATGCCCACAGCCTGAATCCTCAGTGAGGACAGCAGCTAAGGGAACATGGAATGGTATTTTTTTGGAGACAGGGTCTCAATCCAGGATGGCCTCAAACTCACAACCCTCCCCACTGCTGGTGTTACAGGTGTTCACTGCCACTCTCAGTGACCATTTTTTTTTTCTAGTACTGGAGAGCAAAGCTGGGGGCACTCTATTACATACACTGTGCTACATCCCCAGGCCTTTAACTGTTCATTTTGAGACATAGTCTTGCTAAGTCAGTGCTGGCATTACAGGCCTGTGTGACCACTTCTTAAACCTGCAGGTGACAACCCCCTATTTTCAGGAATCTCTATTTTCTAGCACAAGAGCTAGAATACAAAGTTATTATCTCAGTGTACTCCAGTGACAGGCCTGTTTAGAAAAACAAAGGAACTCCCCCCCCTTTTTAAGGGTCTTGCTATGTAGTCCAGACTGACCTTGAGCTCATTTCATAGCCCAGGCTGGCCTCGAACTTGTGGCAGTCCTCCTGCCTCAGCCTCCCAAGTGCTGAGATGACAGGCATGCACCACCATGCCTGGCTAGAAAAACCCAATTTTAACTAATTAAATAGGATTCTTTTTTTCTCAATCTTAAAAACAGCATATACAGGCAAAAGCAGTCCTTTCTACATTAATGCTACACCACCCAAGGCTGTCGTGCCCATAAACACAACCCATAAATGTATGACTGCAGGGCGTGGCACCATAGCCACCCAGCCCCAGAGAATGTCAGCTGTCAGGCAACCTGTACCTTGTCTTAGGCTTTCTCATTCATAATACACGTGCAGTCTCAGCCATCTCTACAACCCTACAAGTCCAGAGACCACTTCCCTCAAAAGGTACTTCGTAGCCACTTTCTGGAGATTAGAAAAAAAGAATAAACTGGTGTTTCAACAGCTATCTTGCCTACAAGCCCAGACGTCTGTCTGTCTGGAAAGCCATGAGACCATACTCTTAAGTGAAATAAATCGGACATGCATGTTTAAATAACACATTGACCCAAAAGTAGAAATGACTAAAATGTATAATGGATGCTGGGAAACAGGAAGGAAATGTTCAAATGGGAAGGGCAACAAAGGAGAAAGGAGTAAGAAAAAAGTGAAACTAGAAGGAAAAAATGGAAATAATGCTTTTGTACATAGGGAGGGCAAAGGGGCTGAGGGGGAATATGGGATAAAATAGAATTTATTAAAAAAAAAAAAAGTTGGGCTGGGGATGTAGCCTGGCAAGTACAAGGTCCTGATTTCAATCCCCCCCACCATCCCATACCGGAAAAAATAAATAAATAAATGTCCACTGACGCTAACTGCACATGCAGAACAACATTCCCAAGCTAATTAATTGCTAAAGAGCAAATCCTGCCAGGTGTGGTAGCACATGCCTGTAATCCCAGCACTTGGAAGGCTGAGCCAGCCTGAATTGCATAGCGAGACCCTGTCTCCTCCCACAAAAAAAAGTCCTGAGTCTGTATTATAATCAAAAGGCAAAACAACCCCAAATAAACCCTCCCATCCTCTTGAGGATATCCTTTCTAAATTAGCCACAGGGACCAGAGATTAAAATTACTTACATGAAATACACACATCTCGAACTAAGGCTTCCAAAAAACTGGCATAATACAGTGACTTTTCATATTGTGTAATTTTATCTTTTAGTAATTTTCCAAACTCTGTGAAATCATCTCTTGAAGATGGATTCATAGCATCAATTCCATAAACTGTATTATTAACACCTGCAGAAGAGAAGCACTGAAAATTAGAAAGTTAAAGGAGTTCTGTTTAGATGTTTTTAAACCATATAGCTTACATAAACAGCCCTATTACTTCATTCCAAAACAAGGGTTCTTAAACCTGGGCTACTGGATTCCTTGAACAGAATTTAGGTAATCTGTGAACCTGAGAAAAAACTTACATCTTGATTTTTTTTTCTGATCTATAATTTACCATTCCCTTCGCTTTTTATTACAAGTAGCAGGTAACAGGTAACAAACTACAGTGGCACTAGCAAAATGACTTTACCAACAGAGACCAGAGATACTTTCATAATCACACTACAGTTGTTGCAGATACTCCTTCCTCTAATATTTTTCAGTCATCATTACTTTCAAAATACGTAGGAGGCCTGACCCTGGACCCTACTGAATACATTCATTAAATGCACAGATGGGCTCTGTGGTGGGTGTTTCCCTAGCATGTGTGAGGCCCTAATGCAATGCCCATCACCACCCATCAGATCAACAGATAAACAATTATGTGTTATAATTTGCCATTTTAGTGTTGTAATATCTATTTCAATAAAACAGGCTTCCTTTGTAAATAAAACCCTATGTATTTCATTCATTATAAATGTCATATTGCAAAACACCCACAGGATTCAGAAGCTGCCACAAGAGCACATGGCACAAACAGGATGCTTTTAACGTGTTTGTCTAAAGACAGCCTAAGCCAAGATGTTGGGGAGTAAGATAAGGAGGAGGCCGGGGATTTAGCTCAGTGGTTTTGCCACCTGTCTTGCAAGCACAAAGTCCTGAGTTCGAACCCTGGTACCAAAAAAAATTAAAAAATAAAAGAAATAAGGATGGATCTTATCAGAATAGCCAGCTAACTCCAGAAGCTAAGCAGAGGTAAACCACGTGTTAAATCCTAACAAAAATTAATGAAGTCTAAAACACAAGTATCCTTCTATAGGCTTTTCAATGTCAAGTAAATTAGTAAATATCAGATTCAGTATTTTAGTCTGAGAAACACAATAGTAAAATCCTATAACCAATGACTATGAATATATACCACTTTTACTTTTTTTTCTTTTTCGGTACTGGGGATCAAACTCAGGACCTTGCACTGGGCGAGGGAGGCGAAGCACCACCGAGCTAAATCCTGGCCCTGCTTTTACTTTTTAATCTATAACTGGTGTTCCATACTAGGCTTTATGTACATCACATAAATTCACCTTAATAGGTACACGGGCAGCTTTTACCATCCTGTGAAGGCACGGAATAATGGCCAAGTGCCCTCTAATGAGTTGAGTACTTTTAGGACCTGCCAAACAGGGCACCCACTGCCACGGTGAGAGATAAGGCCTTGCTTCCCCAAGGAGCGGGAGTGATTACCAAGCCAGCCTCTTACTACATGGTAGAGAATGAGGGCTGAGTGAGGTCAGAGTAGCTAGCCCAGTGGTGGTGAACCTATCACGGGCGCTGCAGCGGGCACACAGAGCCTTCTCTGCTGGCATGTCAGCCAACTGTATGAGTTGTTTTTTCTAAACTAAAATCTCCGTATTCAGGTTTAATTACAGTGTTGACAGTTTTCAATAATAAATAAGTGATTATTTATTTTATCTTTTGATACTCCAAACCAATTATTCAAAATCATGTACCTCTCTCTACCTTCTCAAGAAAATACACAGAAACTAAAACTGCTTTCTGATATCTAAATTAGACACAGTATTTTGTTTCCTTTAAAGACAATGTCTTCCAGAGCTGGGGATTTAGCTCAGTGGTTCCACCGCCTGCCTCACAAGCGCAAGGTTCCGAGTTCGATCCCCGGTACCAGAAAAAAGACAATGTCTTCTGAATTTCACAACTAGTAAGACTTCCAGTTCTTTCATTTGGTACAATGTAATTGTACCCCCACCTTACCAAAAGTTTCTTTCGCTAATTCAAGGTCTGACTCTTCCTGTAATTTCTTTAGCCGAAGTTTATCTGCTAATTGTTCTTCCAGTGTCAGCACTTTGGGTTCTTCAGGTTCTTCTAACTAAAATGAAATAGAATAGAAGCATTAAGAGGCCTACGATTATGATGGACTCAGTATATTTCTGGTCCTAGGGACTGAACCCAGGTACATCCTGAGGTATGCCCCCCTCACCTTTATCAGATAGTCTGTAAACTGCCCAAGTGAAACTAGAACTATCATCCTCCTGCGTCAGGCTCCCAAGTGCTGGGTTTACAGGGATGTGTCACAGGGCTTGGGTTACACTTTAGATATTCTTTTTTTTGGTACCGGGATCGAACTTGAGTCCTGGATCGAACTTGAGTCCTTGTGCTTGGCGCAGCAGGCGGGAAACCACTGAGCTAAATCCCCGGCCCTGCTTTAGATATTCTTTTTCCAACTGTACAGATTAAAAACCAGAGCCAGAGGGATTAAACAATCAGCCCACAATAACAGAACCTAATAATGTAACAGAAGCGAAACGTGAACTCAACAAGACTGGGTTTTTAAGTAATGGGTATTGAACCCAGGAAGTGCTAAGCTGTATCTCAGCTCTTTTTTTTTAATTTTGAGAAAGGGTTATGCCAAGTTATCCAGGCTGTCCTTGAACTTGCAATTCTCCTGCCTCAGGCTCCCAAGTGCTGGGATTAAAGGCATGTGCCACCACACTTGGCTCTATACACCCTTTTTTTAGATATAAGGAACAAGGCTTATGGGCAAGGAAGAAAAGGCAATCTCACATACTACTACTACAAAAACTATCCTGGAACAACTTTCTAGAGCAATGTAATATGCATCAAGTTTTAAAAAACTTCCATATGGGAGCTGGAAATATAGCTCAGTAGTAGATCACTGCCTAGCATGAATGAAGCCCTGAGTTTAAGCCCCAGCATGAAAAAAAAAATCATATGCTTTAATCAAGTAATTCGACTTCTAGGTATTTATTTTAGGACAACTAAGATGCACAGAAATATTTAAGAACAAGGAAGTAAAATTTCAGAAAAATTTATAGATAACCTAAATGTCCAAAAGAAAGTCTAATACAGTCTAGCACATCCATCCAATAGTACCATGTAGACATTAACACCTTCCCACAGGCTTGAACCACCAGTGGTACACATGGATCTAATCACTTTTTTCGGTCTTTTTACTATAAAAATTAATAAAGACTCTATAAAGGGGCCAGGGATTTAGCTCAGTGGTTCTGCTGCCTGCTTCGCAAGCACAAGGACCTGAGTTCAATCCCTGGTACCAAAAAAGTCTATAAAGGGACCAAACCTAATTAGTTGCTTGAATTTGAACAATTACTGCTCAAGTATAAAAATGAATACTATTATACCAATTAAAAACATAATCAACAAATTTATTTTATTAAATTAACAGTTTATCAATAGTTAATTCTCTAAATTTTAACATGGAAATCTTACAAGTATTTCACTACTGGTGTTTATGGTATGCATTTACAATTGCTATACTACTAATTAATATACTTCTATACTACTAATTGCATATGCCACCGATGGTCAAGCAGGTAGGATGATCAAATTCAAATCAGAGCTGCCCAGCCAGATACATGAATTACAACCCTGTAGTAAACATGTTCAAAACATGTCATTATTCAAAGTATCAGAAAAGTTTCTCCCTTATATTTTTATTGTATTTATTATATTATACAATTATGGAAGCAGTTATTGGGCTGGGATATAGCTCTATGAAAGTGTTTGCAGGCC